GCAGGACCAGGGAGGCGGGGTTAGGGCTGTTTCCACTGCCTCGTCCCTTCCCTGCCCAGCACGCCCATTCGCCGGCGGCCTGCCCGGCGCATCCCCAGCCGCATCACCACCGTCGCCTTCCACGGCAACGCCCTGCTGGAGCAGATCGGCGTCATCGGGGGGAACCAGACGGGCATCTTCATTCACCAGGTCACTCCCGGCTCCGTGGCCGACGAGATGTGTCTGACCCCCGGCAATCAGATCATGGTGGTAAGGGGCTGGCCCTCTGCTCCCGGCGGCCTGCCCGGCGCATCCCCAGCCGCATCACCACCGTCGCCTTCCACGGCAACGCCCTGCTGGAGCAGATCGGCGTCATCGGGGGGAACCAGACGGGCATCTTCATTCACCAGGTCACTCCCGGCTCCGTGGCCGACGAGATGTGTCTGACCCCCGGCAATCAGATCATGGTGGTAAGGGGCTGGCCCTCTGCTCCCGGCCTGGCTCTCCCTAGTCCCTCCCGCTAGTCTGCCTCCCAGGGCCGGCGTCCCCCCGCCCTTAGCAACCTCCCAGGGCCGGCGTCCCCCCGCCCTTAGCAACCTCCCAGGGCCGGCGTCCCCCCGCCCTTAGCAACCTCCCAGGGCCGGCGTCCCCCCGCCCTTAGCAACCTCCCAGGGCCGGCGTCCCCCCGCCCTTAGCAACCTCCCAGGGCCGGCGTCCCCCCGCCCTTAGCAACCTCCCAGGGCCGGCGTCCCCCCGCCCTTAGCAACCTCCCAGGGCCGGCGTCCCCCCGCCCTTAGCAACCTCCCAGGGCCGGCGTCCCCCCGCCCTTAGCAACCTCCCAGGGCCGGCGTCCCCCCGCCCTTAGCAACCTCCCAGGGTGCCAGAGCTTTCAACTCTCTTGTTCCTACCTGTAGCCATCTTTAAAAGGCACAGGCACCCAGGAGTAGCCTTGTGGCAGCAAGCCAGCTCCAACCAGGACCCTGACTGCTCAGCTTTTCCTGGTAGGGCCACTCAGAGCCATGTCCCAGGGACAACCCCCCCAATACCCCTCTGGCCCTTCCAGGGACACATCCCCGCAGCAAGCCAGGGGCACCAAACGCTGGGCACCTTTCTGGTCAGGGCCCAAGATCAAAGCCCTCTTGGCGCTCTGGTCTGAAGAGAAGTCTCTTCAGGCCCCTCAGTCCAGAAGGAGGAACGTGGACATTAATGCCAGAATGGCTGATGGCCTTGCTAAGCAAAGCCACCACCCCCACACATTAGACCAGGTCAGAGCTAAGGTGAAGGAGCTGCAGCAGGGGTATGTTAGGGCCCGGGAGCACAGCTCCTGCTCTGGGAAAACAGCACACTATTGTGCTTATTATGAGGACCTGGACCGGATCTGAGGGGCAGGGCAACCCCTGCCTCCCAAGAGGGTTGTGGAGTCTGGATAGGAGACCCTTCTGCAGCAGCCACAACTACAGGGTGAGACCCCAGAGGACCAGCAGCTCCAAGAGAAGAAGGAGGAGCGTCCCCCCCCCGCCCTTAGCAACCTCCCAGGGCCGGCGTCCCCCCGCCGCCCGGCCACAACTACAGGGTGAGACCCCAGAGGACCAGCAGCTCCAAGAGAAGAAGGAGGAGGACACCAGCACAGTGACCCTGACCCAGGAGTCAGATGAAGGAGGCCTCCCAGACAACTTGGGACACCGGGGAGGGAACATCAGGTGAGTGCTGTGAGGGTCCAACACACACAGGGCAGGGAAGGTGGGAGCTAAGTGGATGGTGCAGTGCTGTGACATAACATGCTGATCACACCCTGGGGGGTCACACCCAGGGCCGACCTCAGGGAGGGCCGTCCTACCCCTGCACCCGCATGGCTGCGAGGCACCACCTGCTCCTACAGACACTGATGCCAGGTGCAGGCATGGGTTGGGGACGCTGGGATTGCCACACAGCTTCAGGCCTCTCAGCCACCTGGGGGACCCCAACTGAGGCCTGACACTTGTCTGTGCTGCTTGGCTGTGGGGTGTGCGTGGGGGGGAGACAGGATGTGGCCTGCACACCTT